TGATAGAAATTGGGATTTTTTTCCAGAGTTCTAATTGGATTTCAGTACACCCTGGTCGACCAATCAGCAATTGTTTTTTGTAAATGACGATATTTGCGTTCGGGATACATCTTCACTCTTTAATCTCGGAAATGAAAAACGCAAGTAAACAACGATCCGTAAGATAACATTCAATTCTATGAATAGCCATGGTGTCATCGAATATCTTCTAAATATGTGATTAAGAATCTATATTGAAGCTTCAGATTTGTTCTATGAATAATGGATAAACATAACTCAATTATTGCTTCTTAAGTATTCTTGAAAAAACTTTGATTTATTTTTTTTAACACGTGTCTTTATTTCTGGCGATGACGCAATCTGTGCCTACCTGATAGTTTCGAGATCACGTGACGAAAAACAATCCCGTCTTTTGACTTCACCGTATGCCAAGGGTTTATGAGGAGAGTAGCGTATCAGAAACCCTTGGCTAGCGAAGATGAATTAGGTCAAACATGAATAAAGGTCAAGGGGTCAGAAATCATAGCATGCTCAGAAATATCTTGCAACAGACATATGAAAAATCTATCTCTTCTAAATCAAAGTCATAAGGAAGAATTAATATTTATGAAAAGTATGTCATACTTCAAGGTCAAGATATAATGGTAAAAAATCATGATAGTGTAATCTGTATTAAGAAAGGAATAATTCGCACAGGTAATATATGTATAATTTGAACATGTTGAAAGCCCTATCTCATCTCATTCAAAAGATATGACCAAAGTTTAAGTTTTTATGACATTGATAAGCTGACCATTTAACAGATGACAGATGAATAAGATTTAATGTCCTCTCTTATTCGCTAAGGTGGGGGACAAAAATCAAAAGAACTCATCAAAAGGGATTGACTGACCTTGACCTGATAATGCATATAGATGCTTTCTGTAAAAATAAATGTCTTCTTACAATTATTTAGTTTATAGTTAGAAAGTTTAAGTATCATAAGAAAAAGAAATATCATGTTTGACATACATGTAGATCTATTTCAATGAAAAAAAAGTGATATTGTCAGAATGAGATCAATATTGCCTGACTGCACCTTGCAGGATGAAAATTTAGTTTTAATAATTTCAGAACTTCTTTTTTTCTAATTAGAAACCAAAGAATTTTCGATGAATTCCAATTATATATTGCTAATAATTATAATGTACATGATCTATGTAAAGCCTAAATTGATTCGTTATCCAATGTAGATTTAACAGTCGAGCTGGTTGATGACAGGTATAAACTTAAAAAAATTACTAGTAGTAAATAAGGTACCGTAAAGGCGTAGTACATGTATACAATGTATATGTTGTCTTATTTAATCATGTTCATTGTACCTGCTTTTTTGGCTGATATTAAGTGGTTATTTCAGCTTTTTTTTTATTCAGACAGAGTAGCATAGAGATGCAATTAATTTCATTTTTCATAATATTCATTCATTCATAAAAATAATAAAGATACCTAACCTAATGATAAAAAAGAAGAATAAATCAGATTGGTGATCAATATCTAAAGACATTATGGCGGATCTAAGGGAATACTGTAGGTTGTAATATTTTCGTTCGTTTATTACTTTTCTCATTTACCTAAGACAAAGCGACATGAGATATTTGTCTCATCTTTTTTAATTATGATTATGGCTAATTGATTTCAAACATTTAGCTTATAAGTCATGTATTATAGTCTAAATTTATGAGCGGTGGATCCAAGGGGAGTTGATATTTAAATACTTGTGGTGGATCAAAAGATACTAATGATTTTTGCAAATTTATTTCAACGTTTAGTTAATATTTCTGTGTGTGATCATGATCTTAACTAAGAAGTGGTGGATCCAAGGCAAGTGGATATTAATTGTTTTGATAGCCATAAGAGTTGTGGTGGATGTAAAGGGAGTAGATAGATATTTGTAATAGGTCAAAGGATAATAATGATTATGGATAATTGATTTCAAACATTAAACTTATATGTCATGTGTGATCAAGATCTAAACTTATAAGTGGTGGATCCAAGGGGAGTGGATATTGATCTTTTTTAATTATTTGTGTTTGATCAACATGATCAAAGGTTATTAATGTGATCATGTCTAATTTATTTCAAACATTTAGCTCGTGATCTTAATTTTAAAGTGGTTGATCCAAGGCAAGTGGATATTATTTCTTAATATTTGTGATGGGTAAAAGGACATTACTGATTCCGGCTAATTGATTTCAAACATTAAACTTATATGTCATGTGTGATCAAGATCAAAACTCATAAGTGGTGGATCCAAGGGGGGTGGATATTTATCTTTTTTAAATATTTGTGAATGATCAAAGGATATTAATGATTTATGATTATGGCTAATTTATTTCAAACATTTAGCTTTTATGTCAGGTGTGAACATGATCTTAATTTAAAAGTGGTGGATCTAAGGGGAGCGGATATTATTTTTAAATATTTGTGGTGGGTAAAAGGATAATAATGATTATGGCTAATTTATTTCAAACTTTAATCTTACATGTCATGTGTGATCAAGAACTTAACTTATTAGTGGTGGATCCATGGGGAGTGGATATTCATTTTTTAAAGAAATATTTGTGGTGTATCAAGGATATTAATGACTATGCCATAGTCATTAATATCCTTGATATGGCTGATTGATTTTAAGCATTAAGATTATGTCATGTGTGGTCATGATCTAAACTGATAAGTGGTGGATCCAAGAGGCATAAATATTTTATTTTTAAATATTTGGGTGAATCAAAAGATGTTATTTTTAATAATTGTACTTTGTGATATGTAACTGAATTGAGTTCCATTAATTAAATATGTAGATATATTGCACATGAATTAAATAAATCCAATCTTATTAGTGGTAAATGCAAGGGGAATGGAGATTTAAAAAAAATCCACAAACTAGACATCATATAAACCTAACATATATAAATATACATTAGTTAAGGAAAGAGACCCTCTTTGGACACTGTGAATTGGTTGCTATTGTGTTGGTATTAAATTTTCTTGTTTCATTTTTTTAAATATTCAGATTAATGGTCATCGATCAAATAATCTGTGAAGAGTTTTATGATGAATGTTTCATTTTGGGAGGCAACTGCCTTAGAAACCTGTTTTCATATAAATCTTCTTTTACATAAGCAAAAATTTGAAGAATGAATACTTGAAAATTTGAAAAATAAGAGATATTTGTTATAACTATCTACTTTTATAAAATGAGAAACAGAGAAGATACTAATGATCCATTAGTCTAAGAAAAAACCCAAGTTTTTAGGAATTATCTTACAGTAAATATATCAATACATGGGATTTAAAACCCCATGATAAAGAAACGTGGGAGAAAAAAACCCATATGACAATATAAGCAACATATGGGTTTAAAAAACCTACATTGATTTTCGTGGGGTTATTTCCCCCATGGGGTGAAAAATAAACCCCATGGGGTTTTTGTGGGGTTTTTTGTGGGGTATTTTTAAGTTCATGTTTCCCCATGGGATTTTTGTTTTTGAACTCAAATATCTCAAAAACTAGCAGAAAATGTTGAATTTTTTTTTTCACAAATCAATTTGATTATAAAAACCCCACCATTTAAAAAAAACCCTAAGATGATAGCTTTAAAGGAAAAGGGTGCGCAAGTTCGGAAAAATGTCCATTCCGAAGTTGTCCGTCCCACTGTTTCAGTTTTCTTTACCTGGAGTCAAAGAGTTTAAGATTTTTTTTATATCAATACGTACACTATTTAACAACTGTTCGATAATAATACTAAATAAATTACTTCAAGCCACACTTTAACACCTTTCCTCTTTTAAAAGTGTTCATATTATTTGAAATATTTTGCAGCTGTTATTTTCTTCTACATTTAAGATTGTTATGTCCCTCCATATTAAGAAGAGGTCTGGAAAACAAATTTCTATGCTAAAAATAGACCACGTGCTGCTATCCATGAACTACTTTCATGGTTCTTTGCACTCTTTTTGAAGACAACGGTACCTTGTTTTGAACTGGAAATTATCATTAAAAAGTGCAAAATTTAGACATTTTCTCAACAAATGGTTGTAGAGAGAACATTAATGCACAGTTTGCATATTTTTTTGGATTTTTTAAGGCTCTGCTGAATTCTGTAGCTGCGCAGTTCTAAAGAGGATATCAAAAGCATTTTTCTGCAAAAGTATAGATTATATATACATAACATACATTCAGTTATGCATATTTATTGTATCTTTATCATAAGGACTTAAAATTTGATCAAAATATAATGTATTATAGCCATTTGAAGAAATGTTTACATTTTGTTCTCACTTCACTAAAGGTGGCCGGACATCCCCCTTAACAGATTTATTTAAAAAAGGGGACAGGCTCCGCCATATAGCGGACGAGAGCGCTGTCCAGCGTGGCTGTCTTGGCGAAAGCCAGTCGATAACTGATCAAAAGTACAAAACAGCAAATTACATACAATAGCATAATATTTACAATAGAGTTATTTAACACTCGATTAATTAATTACTTGTATTGTTCAGAGATAAATGTTTACCCAAGTCTTTCACTCTGAAGTCCTTGACACCTGTTAAATTTAATCTGCCCGGGGCGCTTTGATCATTGTCCCGGATTACATATATACATTTTTACACTAATTTCCTTGGTCACACAAGTTTTAATGAGGTAGGATATGTAGTTATCAGGTTACTGAGGGTAGAGACTATCAAAGTTTACTGCGACAAAATATCTAATAACTCGTAATATATCGATCTCTAATATACAGTACATTGAGGAAAGATCACACACGTGTATAACTGTTTAATGATTAATATATATACGGAGAGGTTCATTTGTACAGTTGAAAAGCAGGAAATTATCTATTATAAATTCTACATACTCACGTTCCTGAATCAATCTATAAACAGCTATTGTATATTTACGGGATTTATTCCCGCCTTCATAAACATGCGGTTATGTATTATGTAGAAAAGAACACAATTACTTACCTTTTCAGGTGAAAAACCTTCACGACCTCTGCCATTATTTTTTGGGAGGAGTACATGTATCATCAAGCCTTTTATATGTAAATTACACAGAATAATTACATTGCAAAATATAGATTATTTCCTCCACATGCCTGCTGGCAATTAACCGGATCTATTTTACAGTTGTATTTGCTAGTATGATATAACCGTGTTGCTCAAAAATACCCCGAATCAAATATTGCTGAATTTATTTTGCACACTCGATCCTGTAAAAGGGAAACATCGGGAAAACTGTTAACAAATAAAGAAACACCTATAATTTAGAGAAAAGTGGATCAACGTAAAATTGTTAATATTTAATACAGTGTTTTTCTACCTTTTTAGACTTCTTTTTCAATACAAAAGACTTATTTGTTTATTTGCTATTGAAAAAACAAACAGCGAAATCCCTCGTCGAACCTCAATCATTTAAAATCCATCGGAGTAATTCACGTCACGGTCTACAAATCCAATTTACAGGTCGACCTTTTACCACATTCAAAAGAGCTTTTATGACAGCCGTTTGGCTTATCATATTATTATATACTATCTCATTTCATTATTTAAAAAAAATATATCATTTGGGTGAGCTGCTCACGTAATTATAGCGCATGTCCAGATCAATGGAAAAACATTTTAGAACAAAAATACTTATATTGATCGACACAATCATGTACACATAAAACTCCACTATCTTTTTATCCATAACCAAGGAGAGAATTCATAAGTCGATATCATTACACTGTACCAACACAATGTAGTGAAAGGTTCTTTGTCTATTTGCTTACTATATTTCTTTAATTAACGCTTCAGAATTATCTCCAAAAATCTTTTCTTTTATTTTTTTTATCAACATGCACATAAATTTTGCAAATTATTTTGTACTCGGTCGATATGCTTTTCTGTTAAGTCGATATATCTATGAATCGACCTCATGAAAGACTATATTTGTGGTATACTATCTTGTCTACTGTTCATTAAAATAACGGGCATGCTCAAGCATAAAGCATTTCAAAACTTAAGGAATACTCTATGATTTTTTTAAAAAGAAAAATCCAAATAATATTATTGCAAAATTTTTAGCAAAGTCAGTTATAAAAACTGTACACGAAATGTAATGTCTCTTGAATTTTATTAAAAAATATTGATGATATCTGTGAAGTTTTTGGAGATAAAGTCATCTCCTGAAATTCCCATTGCTACTTGTTATGCGGCCCTTTTCTTACCAGGCCTATTTCTGTATCCATATGAAGCAGAATTCTTTCAAACTCTATATAAAAAGGAGTCTTTTGTTTTCGATAATTATATCGACGACATCTTCTCAATTAACAATATACATTTTTAGCTCACCTGAGCCGAAGGCTCAAGTGAGCTTTTCTGATCAAAATTTGTCCGTTGTCTGTCGTTGTCGTGGTCGTTGTCGTTGTCGTCGTTGTCGTAAACTTTTCACATTTTCATCTTCTTCTCAAGAACCACTGGGCCAATTTTAACCAAACTTGGCACAAAGTATCCTTGGGTGAAGGGGAATCAAGTTTGTTCAAATGAAGGGCCACGCCCTTTTCCAAGGGGAGATAATTATGAATTAGAGAAAAATTAATGGCATTTTTAAAAAATCTTCTTCTCAAGAACCACTGGGCCAGGAAAGGTGAAACTTATATGGAATCATCCTCAGGTAGTGTAGATTCAAGTTTGTTCAAATGATGACCCCCGGGGCAAGGGTGGGGCCAAAATGGCCGACCCAAGTTTTACATAGGAATATATAGGAAAAATCTTTAAAAATCTTCTTCTCCAGAACCACTGGGCCAGGAAAGATGAAACTCATGTGGAATTATCCTCAGGTAGTGTAGATTCAAGTTTGTTCAAATGATGACCCCCGGGGCAAGGGTGGGGCCAAAATGGCCGACCCAAGTTTTACATAGGAATATATAGGAAAAATCTTCTTCTCAAGAACCACTGGGCCAGGAAAAATGAAACTCATGTGGAATCATCCTCAGGTAGTGTAGATTTAAGTTTGATCAAATCATGATCCCTGGGGCAAGGATGGGGCCAAAACGGCCGATCAAAGTTTTACCTAGGAATATATAGGGAAATCTTTAAAAATCTTCTTCTCCAGAACCACTGGGCCAGGAAAGATGAAACTCATGTGGAATCATCTTCAGGTAGTGTAGATTCAAATTTGTTCAAATGATGACCCCCGGGGCTAGGGTGGGGCCAAAATGGCCGACCCAAGTTTTACATAGGAATATATAGGAAAATATCTTTAAAAATCTTCTGCTCCAGAACCACTGGGCCAGGAAAGATGAAATTCATGTGGAATCATCCTCAGGTAGTGTAGATTCAAGTTTGTTCAAATCATGACCCCTGGGGCTAGGGTGGGGCCAAAATGGCCCACCCAAGTTTTACATAGGGATATATCGGGAAATCTTTTAAAATCTTCTTTTCAAGCACTTCAAAGCTATGATTAGTGTTATTTATATGGAATCATCCTCAGATAGTGTAGATTCTAGTTTGTTCAAATGATGAACGCCGGGGGGGGGGGTTTAAATTCAAGCCCGATGTGCTCAGGTGAGCGCTGTGGCCCCTGGGCCTCTTGTTATTCTAACGTTGATTCGATATAATTTCTAAGCTCAAAATTAAAATCACTACAGAGTCTAGGATTTTATATCTGGATTTTTTACATGAAAAAATATTATATTGGTAACCTACCCACCCACCCCCACACCCGCCCCAAATATATTTTAATTATAAATGTAATGACTTGAATTTTTTCTGACGTCAACTTAATTATTAAATTAATAAATTGATGATTCAAGGATATCAATGGTCTGTTTTAAGTCAAAGGTTTGTAAATTTTGTGGTCCACATATGACCTATTGCTAAGTCTCTTTTCATACAAAGTTAGGTCATTATTTTCACACTTTAGATTATCCATGGATTTTTCTGTTTACTAGATTATGACAAGGACACATAGCAGGTGTAGTCGGTCGATAGGGGATATTTACCCCTTTATAGCACATGGTCCCAACTTCTGGTGTTTTTGAGGTCTGTGTTTGGTCTCTATTTGTTTTGTTCCAATGATCTTTTGAGCTAGATTGACGTTCTTCGTTTTTAATTTTCACGCAGAGTCTTTTCAAATGAACGATTTCTAATAGCGCATGAGTCTCGAAAAAAAAAAAATCACAAAAATGGAAGCCGCCAACATATTTTTTTATATATACAATAAATGCACGTGCAGTTATTGTCAACTGAAATGACCAAATAAAACAAATTCAAATAGGGAGGAAGGTTTCTTGAAAATAATTAAACACAGACATTAGATATAATTAGATATCAAAACAATATTTTAAATACCTTTTTAATGTTCTGAATAAAAATTCATTTTGATAGTAATCGATAAAGACACACAGAGTATATAAATGCTAAGAAATAAATTTTGAACGTTCGTATTTCCATATTAAATCTTGGTTTTTGCAATGCACTCTTGGTTAAATTCATACAACTCTTTAAATGAGAGCATTTCAACCTATTCAGAGATCAGACATATATGTAAATTGATGTGTTGAAAATGTTTTTTTTATAATTGAAATAAAATTAGATGCTCTACCAAGCCTACTGCTCAATATTAATTTACATTACTCGAGAAGTGGTTTAGATAAGATGACAGTGTGAATACGTGTAATTAAAAACTCTTTTTAAAAAACTTTAAAAGAGCTTGTGAAAAATTTGAAATCAATTTTTTTTTTTACCAAAATCAACGGCATTAAAACTTACGACTTTTCACCTTCATATATAAACACCCCCATCCCACGATAAATTAAAGTCCAAGCTTTTTTATATCATTGACAGCTGCCTTTTCAATATAAAAGAAAGTCGTAAATTTACTTATCTTGTCACTGGTCATTTGCAAATTATTTTGTTAAAAACACCATGATTGAACACACAAGCACCCTGAAGTTGATATTAAAAAGATGCTTGAGTTTCTGATTGACTATAAAAAAAATAAATATTATACTTAAAAAGACGTTCATAATAATCTATAATCAACCAAGTTTTATAACAAACGAGATGACTTTAACTTTTCAGTCGTCAACTTCCCTTATTTATGCAGCTTACTGCTATATATATATATATATATATATATATATATATATATATATATATATATATATATATATATATATATATATATATATATATATATATATATATATATATATATATATATATATATGTATACCCTGATCGCCAAAATACAGGGTGTATATCTCTCAATGATTCGATACGCAAGGACATGTCCTACGAGGCTACGTATGAACACATTTTAAAACGAGGTAAGTTTTTGACAAACAAGTTGCTGGAACAAGAATATCAATTGTCTCGTTTAAAGTCATCATTTCGTAAGTTCTACGGTCGATAAATTACCTTGTCAGCAAAAATACAATTTATCATTAAAAGAAATGCCGACTGACATTTTTCTTACTAATTGTTAGGCCATTATATACACACTGAATTGTTGACAGATTTTCCCGATTATGGTAAGGGGGACAAGGCGGGGGTGACCTGTCGGCAGGGGATGCCTACTCCTCCATGGCACCTGATCCCACCTCTGGTGTTTCGGAGGTCCGTGTTTGCTCTGCTCCCTTTTTGTATTGCTTGATGGACTTTTGAGTTTGAACGCTCTTCGTTTCATTAAAAACGTCAAAGATCCTTTATTTATTTTTGTCTTATTCATTGGTCTATGCATTCAATTGTTGAAATGCCTGAATATCAAAGATACAACTTGTTCACTTCGACTTGTGCGCTTTAAACTTTGCCTTCCTTGTAGTCTTGTAACAAAACAACATGCGGATTAAAGAAAGTAGCTGGCCCATATCAAAACAACTTGGAAGACCTTGAACACACTGGTTAGTAGATTAGAAAAATATCTATAATGTCGGCCGCAGCAAATATCCCTGTGACCTTTGAATAACCCGATCGCCAAGTGACAATGCCAATGAACCGTGAATAATTCCAATACACATATCCGGGTTTGTTTATAACCCATAATACACATTCTGCACAATGATTTCACAGAAGTGAAAATTGAGAAGCCATGGTAAAACCTACTTTCTAATTGGCAAGTTGGAGGAGAAAGAGAAGTTATATTGCTAAAAAAGTAAGTGTGAATTTCCGCTTTACATTGTTTTTCCTTTTTAAATTTGTTTTATTGAGCGACATAGTTTAAACAGTATAATCAATGTTTGAGAATGGTAAGCAGTGGTTGAGAAATCAGGTAGTAGATGTACACTGTGTATACAAAATCTTAAAGGTCCCACAGCATATGTAGGACTAAAATTATTTATTTTTGACTAAGAAAATAAAATGGAATACGAATATAAAATACGACATGTATTGATGTAAACATAAAACATATACACTCGCTCTACTATTATTCAAAACCTGTATGTAAAGGAGTGCCATGATTATAGAATAATACGTAATATTAAAATACTAATGAAATAGCCGTATTCATAGGCGGATCCAGGAATTTGTAAAAGGGGGGGTCCAACATTTTGACCTATTAGGTACTGTTTGCAACATCTACCGCTCCCAATGCATAGGTGTAGTCACAGGGGGGCAGCAGGGACACTGCCCCCCCCCCCACTTTCAGATCTGGGGGGGTGGCAAGAGTATGTCTGTGCCCCCACACTTTTTAATGAAGAACAAAATCACAGCTATTTTGGAATAAAGTTAAACCTCATTTTATGTATGGCATTTTTTTATGTTCAACAAATGAGCAAACATTTCTCTTGAAGTAATAGTTGTATAATATAGTAATGTAATATAGTAATTGAATCGTCAAGACCTGCCCCCCACTTTTTTCCCTAACATTACCTTTAATATAGGAATTTTTTATTGAAGGGATAGTTGTTGCCCCCCCCCCCCCCCCACTTGTTGACCATAGTATAGTGATATCGAAGAATTGTGGGGAAAAAAATTGGAATTGAAAGTAACGTGCCTTTGAAAAAGTTAACCACTACCCCCCGAAAATCCGAAAAATCGCAATCGGAAGGACAGACAGGTGGATAGATGGACCGAGAGTAAAATCGCACCCTCCCACTTCTCAGCAAAGCGAGAAAGGGAGACTAATAATACAAAACAATTGTTTGATATTAACCCAATATCACACTGTTCTGATCAGACTTAGAGTCCCAAATATCTATAGCGAATTGCTCTATCAACTTTAGACATTTACTATTCTGGTCAATTATACTGGAGTGACATATCTAACAGAAATATCGTTAAACTCTATATTTATCATAATAAATGAACGGTATGAACTTTGATGCACCAGATGCGCATTTCGACAAATAATGTCTCTTCAGTGATGCTCAGACCAAAACTATTGGAAATCTTAAAAAAGATAAAGAGCTACGAGCATGGATCGAAAGTGCCGAACATGAGCCAAAATCCGAACAAGGACCAGAGCTATGCCTGAGGGAGATGCGTCCTTTATTTCTAAAATTTATCATATTAAAATTTATATATCCGTTTCATGCTAGCACTGGAGTACTAGACGAAACTGGGCTTATGAATAATACCCTCGGGGACTAAAAGTCCACCAGCAGAGGCATATTACTAACATTCATATTCAGTTATAATTCTCTCTTTGCTACAAGGATATACAATTTTGATAATACATTTTTTTATTTCATAGGCACACATAACCAAAAAAATGGGGGAAGGGGTATCTGCACATGAAGGCCTATCTAGAATTTATTTTACTTTAAAAATATACATGTACATTACATGGGGGAGGGGAGGGAACCACCCCAACCTGTTTTTTCCTACAAATTGTAAAAAAAGAAGAAAAAAAAGAAAAAAAAAAGTAAAATTGGACTCCCCCTTTTAAAAGGAATAGTAATAGCTGACTCTCTCTGAAGATAAAACTCAATGGTAGACCCCTCCCCTACACCGTGCCGTTCACAAACTTGAGAGTTTAAGCATAGTTTGGGGTATTTGTATCAAATAATGAAATTGATAATCACGTACATAACCACCCCCACGTGTAGTTTTGAAACGTGACGTTTATGTGATAAATATAGTATAATAGGCCCCTATGTGTTTTATAAAAAAAATATGCAAAAAACTGAAATAGCTGCAGTGCTTGTTCTACTGCCTAACCCTTTCATGAACTGAATATTTGATAAACAAAGTTTGTTCAGATCACAGGGCTTCTTATAAATTTTGTACTCAATCTGTATGTTATATATCTATTCATGGCGTGAGAATTAAAAAGAAAAGACCCCCCCCCCCCGTTTTGTGTTTGAACTCAGAGCATAAAGTTTGTACTATACATGATGTATAGCTGCGCTCGCTACAACGGTCACACCGTCAATATATTACTGTAGGCCTATTAGTCAATGTTCATGATACATTGTAACAACCAGCCTTCCACATGTATTTGTGTTACACGTGAAACGACCTTTTTCAAAATCGTCGTGTGTGACTCAGCCTAAGAATCAAACATTTGGCTAGTAGCCTAGTACAATATAAACAACTCTTAATAAAAAAAGTAAAAGCTTACCATAATATTTATATGAAAATTATGAATTATGGACAGTTTAATCTTCATGCCTTACTGGAAGCAGCTTCAGAGTTATTCTAAACAAAACTGTATATGTCCAGCGCTGATGTTTCCGGTAAAATCTCGTCAACTTTCTATTTCTTTTCTTTTTTTTTTCTATCCTTTTTTTCTTGATTTATATTTCTTTTTTTTTTTTTCTTTTTTTTTTTTGGGGGGGGGGGGGTGTATATATTTTTTGGTCCGCGAAAAAGGGGGGATCCGGACCCCCTGGACCCCCCCTCTGGATCCGCCCTTGCGTATTTACCGGCATATTTACTCGTTATACTTAAATAAAGAAGACAAAAATAATGCAATCAATATGTGCCCTGTACTTATGTTTAGTCACATGTATAAAACAGTATCCATCGATAATCCAGCATCTGTTTGTTTAACAATGACCAATCAGAAGCAGTGTGCTATATTGTATAATAAAGATGACTTCCTTTATTTCAGAATCGTGACACGGACTTCTAGATCCGCCTCAAAAGTAACACGTTAACCCAGTTCCTGCGGTCGACCAGATTTGTATTGAGTGAAGCAGCAGCTCCCGCTGAGCGCATCGTAAACAGGGCGGTTAGTCATTCTGTTGGGAATCAATAGAGGAATAAGTGGCCTTGATCCCCTAGCTCTTGTTTACATCCTCAACAGTGGGAGAGGGACAGAGAAGACAAACCATTTAATTTCAGATGCGGGGTTGTCATCGTACGTCACTGATTGGATCTTTTACCAATTGCAAGGTAAGGGAAAATGTCTATACTTCTGATAGTTACTCTCTAATCAAAAGTCTTGATTTTTTAGGCATAAAATATACTTTGAAATACGTTTTACATTATGTTTTTTAAAAATCAAGTTCATAATATATTCAGTTATCATACAGTTACATGCATATGTTCTTTATCTTATGAATCTTAGAATCAATCTGTGTGATTGTTGCATTGGAAATATTAACAATCTTTGGAAATGTAAACAAACAAATGTTCACGGGTTTATAGTACCTGAATTTATGCTTTCCTGACATCGTTTTCATTTGAAACATGTGTATGTTCAAATGCTTAGTCTAGAACTTAAATTCTTGCCATAATATGATCGAGAAATTTCGATTTTGTAAGTTTTGCAAACAGTTCTTCTAGCATTTTTGGCATATTCTTGTTTTTATTTCATCATATTTCCAATGCTGCCTATTGGTCTTATCTGAACAAGTTGATAAACTCTACTTGTGCGTTTTACTTGATGATTTTCACATGAAGCCTTAGAGAGAGTGCAGGCACTTGAGAACAGATTGGTCTCTAGATTTTCACAAGTTTTGAAATGCTCGACCATTCCGTCTACGTCAGAAAACCTAATTAGTCACCATACGTTATCCGGCGGTTGACTTCCCCTACTGAGTCAATAGTACTGACAGAAGTACTATGTTATCACCTGTCTCATATTGGATTAGTGATACACTTGATGGGCTTTTAAGACGACCATCTGTCATGTTTAAGACTTGACTGTCTTTCTCGTTCGTCTTGTACAGCATACTTTTCGAGGTTCTGCTGCAACGCTCAGAATAATTCTGTAGCTTGCCAAGTAATTCTTTGTAATGATGGTAAAAAAGACTTATGTGTGTCAGTTTATTACAATAGTTGAAAACACATTATATTAAAGCAACTAGTACTGCTTATTTCAAAGCAACTGCTAATTTCAAGCACTTTTTCTTATTCGTCAATAACAAATTACATTAGTAGTTTTCATTTAAATCCTTTGTATATTAAGAAAGAACATTGACGCAGTTATTCTAAAATTACATGTAGATATCTTTCATCAAGTTCATTTGTGCAGTAACTTAAATGACATGCAAATTCAATGCCTGTTGGGTCAGATTACAAATTCTCTAGATTTGTTGAAAGATATGGCCGTATTACGTCTTCACAGTAATAAGTTAGCAGGCTTAAAATATCTTAAGGTTTCGTTGAAAATGCCTTTGCTTACCGGAAATTCACATGACCTTATATTACTAACGATTACAGGGGCCCTGTTTTCATTATGACATAAAGTTGAGATGAGGATGACATAGATAGATCCTGCACCGTTTGTGTTTACAATATTTAGTAAACACTTGTACTTGAATTCTGTAAATAATGGCCACTTAACAAGCTTAACGCACTTTGGCACAAGGACACCTTTTATAAATAGCTCAATTTGAATGGTTGATATTTTTTTGAGGGCATTGTACGTGCCTTTAAGTGGAATCATAATAAAGCCTAAAGCTGATGGTGTGTTATTAATTTGTTTAAAGGTGTTAATTGTAAACTTGTTTACGACAAGTTGCCTGTTCGCCAATATAAGATCGATATAGTAACAAATTTTGAGTGGTACGTCACTGGCCGTGGACATTGGATAGTTTATTGGGTATTGGTCTGGTTCATGACTCCGTTTCTTTCTTATTTATCTTATGTTTTGAACGATATATACACATATATTCTATTCCCATTCATTGTGTGCACAGGGGATGTTCACTTTTTATGGTAAGCTTTGCAAATACTTTCTCTTCAGTGTGCTTTGAACGCTATTTCCCAACGTTCCAGAAGTGTATTTAGTTTTTGAAGTAAAAATATGAATTCCAAAGATAAAGAAGATGGAAGAACAAGGCGGGCAGAATGCCTGTAGCGTCGGATATTAATAAATCATTTTCAGTATGTGATTTGAGTATTTAAATTAACTTCTCATTACCAGGTATTAAAATTTATGAAACCTCTTCTGAGAGAAAAACTCGTAAAAAAATTTCTTTTATAAAAATATAAGATGATACTCTTGGGATTTAAACCCTAGCAATAAAAATCCGACGTATGATTATCATACTGGTTTGAGACTAACGCGCTAACCACAATCCTACATGGCTCATGGTGATTTTAGGCATTGAAATCATGTTTATGACATGATCCACGACTTAATGGACTTGAAGTATTTCTCGGAAAGATTCGAATGTTTTGTCATAAAAGTGTACTTTTATGGTATAGTGGGACATCGCTCCATGTTCTTGTAAACTAAAATATGTATATTTTATTGCAAACTTTTAGGAGTGTCTTTCAAAAAAATGGAGCGAAGACCCACTCATATTTAAAAAATTTTGTTTAAGTATGCGAAAATGATCGTTTTTGTTCTTTTTAGTGTGTGTATGCTTTATCATAGGCAAATATTTTCAGTCTTTGTGAGATTTTTGAAAATTGTAGAGATTTTACATTAGTATACTTTAATATTAGATAAAATAACACATAAAATTTGGATATAATGGAGATTAAATTTTCCACTTCTTATCTGTCGCACTATAGGCACTTCGTCCGACTTATCCCCCATCTTCTTTTTGATATTTTTTTAACCATAAAATATAATTTTCAGCGCTAAAGGCAACTCTTATGTTCTTGTTCTTATGTGAACATGTTACAGCTAATCAGTAAATTTTTAAAATCTAGTTCTTAATTTTTTATCAACTCATTGTTGTCATAAAAATATATCATCTGTCGGAATATTTTGAAGAAACATTTTTTTTACATTGAATAAAAATTGTAGTACTTTATTTTTATTTTACAGATTGCTGCCAAAATTTCACATATCGGGATGATGCTTAGAGAGGACCGCCATCAACGATTGCTTCCCCATCTTCCCCTGACGTCACAATTACCAAACAGTCGAGAAATCATCATTGATTGGATGTCAGATGACCACGTGACTCAAACGTATGACCTTATTCAGCAGTGCGCTGAAGATGGACATGGATTTGGTGTGGATGAATTCGAAAACGAAGAAGATTTTCGTGAGGAAATACGGGAATCATTTTGTTTCGTTGTTATGGACAGGTCAACAAAAGAAATGCTTGCATCATTCATAATGACGTCAAGCAAGTTTTATCGCGGTTCTCCTGACGCTGTGGATCCGTATATTATCGTCAGACCTCATGACCGCCAAAAGGGAATTGGCGAATTTTGTATGAGAAAAGTTTTGGAATTCTCTGAAATTCTTGGATATCAAGGAATGTATGTGGACACCTTTTGTAACAATACAGGAATGCAGAAAATCCTTGCAAAGCTGGGTGGTTTCATGAAATGTGGTTGCCTTCCCATGGGAGGAAAACTAAAAAATGGAAATATCATTGCCTCTCTGATATTCTTCCGTGATCTTACGAACTACTCTAATGGTTGATGATATCCATTAGGTAAAAATGAAAACAGAAAAACATTTTGTGAAAGGAATCGAGTTCTTCGCAGGTGGATAGCTGCCAGTGGTTCCAATAGCACGGCCCTCAAATCCAACTATGCTGGAGGGGCATATTCCTTTTCTTCATCATTTGCATAGACCGACATGTACAATATGTGAATTGTTACAATCTGATTGAAGATAATGTTATTATGATTCAAAGTAAAAAAAACATTATACAATCTTCGATTGATCTGTGACCAAGGTAGTATAAATGGCAGGGATGCACTAATATATTATACATAACAAAGATTTCAGAGCACTATTTTTTAAAGCAAGATTTTTTACAAAACTATATATTCTTACAATAAATCTTGTTCCACCCTTCTTTCTTGTTTTACAGTTTTACTTTACTGAATTACCCGTGTTGATCTGTTGAGTTAAATTCAAAGTTCCTGGTTATTAATATATCCTAGAGATAAATATGCTGCTAACTGTCACAAAAGCATGACATAGGAATGGTGACCTATATAAAAAAATTCATATCTTGTGCAACGTTAAATCATTCAAAGGAAAAAAAAAATAAGTGAATAAACTAGACTTATTTCATGTTCATCATATCGATCGTTCCTATATTAGGCTGTATGAATGTTAAGATTTTTATTTGATTAGATGCTATTTATGGTCCTTGGCCATAGCGACTATAATGATTTTACCGGATGAATTTAGCAGGCCTGCGTTTAACAAGATATGACTGATGTTTAAAAACATTTGGTTTTTTGTTCTTTTCTAATCCATCATTCAAATTATGATTAAAGTGAAACACATTCTTGTTAAAAAAATAATTAATATTAAAAGCTGTGGTTGAATATGCAGGAGAGATTTTGAATTCTTTTTACTTTTCTTTAGTTTAAACAGTGTGTCAATTCCACTTACATGTGTATTTCTTTAATATATATGAAATTTGTCAATTTTTTTTTCTATGAGAAAACTTAAAAGAAATATTACTTTTTGGTTTCTGAAAAGAAGAAAAATGGATGTTATACTAGTATTTTATGTTTTCTCTGAAGATACTTTTATAATCAGTAAGATAAATTCTGATAACTATTACCTACTACATGTACACAATTGAAAAGGAGGATATGGAAATAACGAACAGTATTCAATACTAGTATCAAAGGCAATAAAACAATACAAAATAGGAGCAAAGCAAGCATGGATCTCCTAAACAGTAGAGGTGGGATCAGGTGCCATGGAGGAGTAAGCATCCCCTGCCGACCAGTCACACCCGCAGTGTGCTCCTTGTTATGATCCGGAAATAACGGAAACATTGTCAATTCAGTCTATAAATAATGGAATAATAAGCATAATAAGTATGTAAAACGTCAGTCAGCAATTAACTCACTTTGAACGAGACTGCTGATTTTCTTGTTTCATCTTGTTTGTCAAAAATTTACCTCGTTCTAGAAAGTGTTCATACCTAGAGCATTCTCTTGCATATCGAATCAACTGAGATATATAAACTCTATGTGCAGGTGATGAAGGTATATTGCTGCATAAGTAAGGCTAGTTGACGATAGAAAAGTTAAAGTCATCATGTTTATCACGTTTAAGGAAGGCGAGTTTGACCGGTCGACAGGGGACGTTCACTTTTCCATGGCACCTGATCCCACAGATACCTAACGAATGGGTGTAACCCCAACCCCCATCTTCCGAGTTTTTCGAATTTTTATTAGGCACAAAAACTTATCAAAAATACATGATTTCCTAGTCTACCATTCTTATATCATTTTCCGCGTTTGTTGACGATAGAAAAGATAAAGTCATCACGTTTATCATAGAGCTTGGTTGCTAGATTACCATTTACGTCTTTTTCAAGTAAAATATCCAAGTATAAAACAGGTTTGTCAGACTCTATGGTATCTTTTATCTGAAGCTTACCCATGTTACCAGGATATATCCTATCGACGTTGGAATGGAAATTACCATTATTAATAATCAGAAACTGAGAAATCTTTTTGATGTCAATTTTAGAGTACTTGTTTGTGCAATCAGGATGTGTTTTAGCAAAATAATTTTGCAAATGACCAATGACCAGATAAGTAAATTTACGAGTTCCATTTTAATTAAAAAAGCAGCTATCTTTGCTTTCAAAAAGCCTTGACTTTAATGTGTCGTGGAGAATGGTTGTGTGTAAAGTTGAAAGGTTGTAAGTTTTTATCATCTGATTTACACCACTTCTTGAATATATTATTGCACAGTACTCTTGAAGATTTTCCTTCACTACTGTCAACATCTTAGTGAGGAGTAAAGAAAGAAGCTTGTTTGAACATTTACTGGAACCCGCAATGTATCTTTGTTTGTAAGGATTCTCTAAATGAAACATTCTAGAAACAAGTGTACTGTTTTGCAAGTTTGAAAGGTGAGAGTCTGCTAATTTTTACCAGTTCTATCTAAAAGTAAAGACCACAAACAGTGATCAATCTAAAAAAAATCAATAAACAATACAAGTTTATGCAAAGAATTAATGCATAAAAATAACCCACTGGAAATAACAGAGGTGGGATCAGGAGCCTAGGAGGAGTGAGCTTCTCCTGATAACCGGTTGGCGTGAACCCAAGGCAGTTCTATGATACAATGTGAATAGTCAAATCTAGTTTTAAGAAATGAGTTAAAATTTAGTATGAAACAAGTCAGCCAAAAAACGACCCAATAATACGTCATATTTGTTAACAAGGTCATCATAAAGACCGTAGAATTTAAGAAATGCTGACTTTTAACGAGACATCAACATATCAGTTGGTAGCACGCTTCGTTTTAGAAACTGATTGTTCTCAGACTTAGCTCTTGAGTAGCGAATTAGGGGAGACTACATAAATAAGTAAAGTTGACAATTGAAAACCTAAGTCATCTCGTTCATCGGTTATCATATAATTTGCTGTTAGTTAGCTCTTTTCGCCTTTATTCAGTAAAACGCAGTTGTGGCAAACTCTGTGGTGTCTTTTATTTCAAGTTCAATAGGATAAATCGAGTTCACATATTCATGAAAGTAACTTCAATGTTAATTGGAAAAAAAAAACATCGTGGATATATTAATGTCGAATTGAAGGCCACAGCAAGTATTTTCTCCTTTTAATATACAAGTTTTTTTTCTAATAAATTATACTTCAAGGGAAAATAAAACAGGTCAGCAAACAAAGGAGCACAAATAGTGTCGATTACAACTCCAACAATTGATGGAAAAGTTGTTCATCGAAGACTACATCGTTGTTGTCAATGCAGACCTCAAGAATCCTTTTCATATCAACTTCAGTGTACTTGTGTATGCAATTAGTGGTTAACGAAGTAATTTGTTAATGACCAATAACAAGACATGGAAATATCTGAGTTCCGTTTTTGTTGAAAAAGCAGTTGTATGTGATATAAAAAAGGCTACACTTAATTAAATTTAATTTATCGCGAGGAATTGCTGTATAAAATGTAGAAAAATTATAAGTGTTGATATTATACTTGGATAATTTTTAAGTTTTTAGAAGTTTTTGTCATTATTTCAAAAAATTGTTCCTATACAAATCTATATGAAAATAAGAATAACATTTCTTATGTTTTATACTGAGCGGGCATAAAGAAATCAATGTTTGACCGCTGGGTTCGATGTTGGACCTTTCAAAGAGATGTTGGACCGTTTACGTCACACAATTGGCGGAACTTAATCTCATTTGCATTCATTGGTGTTTTACAGTGACGGACTTGAGGTATACATCACCGAAGACAGTTCAAGGTACATGTATGTCAAAAACATATTAAAATAAAAAGTATAACAACACATTTATTGAGTGTATTCTCGGGCAAAATGCGTTTTAAAAAACGTCGACCCTCGAACCAAACTGTCTGTCTTCGGCCTAATGACCTCAGGCAAAAAGTTTGGTTCTTGGGTGCAACAAAACCCACGTTGCCCACGAACTCAGTCAATAAATGTTTTATCCCCATCACATCTTATTTACACTACTTCTAGAAAACTATTTTTTAAGTTTCTCCTTCATAGAAGTAAATAATTTGGTAAGAAATCAATATAAGGGCTTGGTAGAGCATTTGCTGGACCAAGTTATGTATGTGTTGATCTATCAATTCACTTTAAATTATCCTAGTAATTATTTTCCGATTTCATTCTTCAACCAGTTCTATTTTACGTAGGAGCGTCCTAGTTTCTAAGTAAACTGCATTTTTTCTTACTTATTTTTCGTTTTCTTTCGCTTGCCATCCTTTTACGATGGTTTACAGTCAATAGATCTAATTGATTTAGATGATGCAACATTTTGCTGTTATTAGACAAACATGTTTGTGGGAGGTTTCCTACACTAACTGTGGGTAAATATCCGTTATTATTATTTTCCCCCATAGATTTCTCTTGACGAGAACGATTGTAACCTGAGTTTCAGCCAATCCCATATCTGTGCGTGATATTGTCTACAAGAGCGTCACGATTATTCTCCAACACTTCGTGTATTCTATCACAACGAGGGACTTTTATAGCTGATGAAAAATGAATATTATTTCTAATAATTAATATTTTGATGTTCTGAAAGCCTTAGGAACATATAAAATTTGCCATGTATTAGTAATGTGACTAACTCTGTAATTCCGATTCAATTCACTAAGGGATTACCCTGTTTGTTTCATTTTGACAAAGGTTCTATTGATCACCTCCAAGGCTATATTTTTCAGTAGAGGTAGATCATGCACAATTCTATGTTTGTTCTTAGGATTAAGAGTATAGTATATTGATCCTGTTATTTGGTCAATCTCTTTCGTTCACAAAGTTCGCGCACGAAAAAAATAGGTTAATTAGATTTAATAATCCAATAAACATGAAAAACTAATATATTTTATGTACAATTTGATAGCAGGTTATCACATAGCCAGAACCATGACGTCATCCAATGCTATAATTTTTGCCTTTGACGTGTTCTTTTTTATAATCGATCTTTTTTTATTATTTGAGAAGGGAAAGTTTAAAAAAATTCATACAATACCATATAATCCGACATAGGGTTAATTTATTCAAGGCCAATTAAAAAAAGGAGTTAACTCTTAAAACTAACGACAATGTCAATGATGAGTACTGAGTACTTTTTAAGTACTGCTCAGAGAGTTCAAGTCCTCCGTGGATTCAACATGCAAGCAATGTCCAGGCCATCTTTAAAATAATGTTTGCTTGTCCTCTCCCGACCCAAGATTAAATTATTAGGTCGATAGGTAGGTGGGAAATTTTTTCCCCAGAAATTCCAAGATATTTGTGAAAGAGATAAAAGGAATTAAACAGAAAAAAATGTGTCACCGAATGTAAAAAAAAACTAACATTTTTTTTAAAGTTTTGAGTCGAGCAA